GTCTCTCTGAGCCAGGGTCAGCATTCACTCAGGAGAAGGTGAAGGAAGCAGAAAGGACCCTCTATCTCCCGTTGTCATGGATGATTGACACCAAAGAGCCACCATGAAACAAGGACTATAAGAGCGGAGTGGGCTCAGCCTCCCTCCTGCCCTCCTGGGTGGGTGTTCGCCCTGAGAGCAGCCCCAGGTGGAACCTACACCCCTCACTGAAGCCCGCAGCACCTTCAGGCCTTGCCTCTACACAGGCCAGGTGACCCCCTCAGCAGGTGACCCCCTCAGCAGGCCACATCACTGAGCATTTCTCTGGGAATCAACGTGTCTCAGCACCTAGCCATGCCAGGCAAGCTTTATGTGTGGCCCCCAGATCAAGACCAGAGCATAGTAAAAGAAGTTATAGTGTAGCAGGAAGCTCACACAATCACCAATAGAGCCTGTGCTTCAGGTGTGTGGGGCTCCTAAGGCCGGGACCTGCTCCCTCCCGGCACTCACAGAGGGATGGGGCCTGTGGTGTCAGGGAACGCCTGTTTCTTGAGCCTCCAGTTTCTACCATGGCAGTGTGTGCCACCACGCACCTTGTCCTTCTCAGACTTCACACCCAGGAGATATGAAATAACAGAAACCTTCTCTTGCTTCTGGAGGCCAGAAGTGTGCCCTCCAGGGTCAGGAGGCTGCACTCTCTATAAAGATGCTCTCAGGGTCCTTCTTGGTGCACCCCACTCCTGGGATCTGGAGCACCTGGCTTGTGGGAGCACCGTGCTCATCTGCACCACCTTCTCCTGGATGAGTTATTAGATTTATGGCTTGCCCTGTCCTAGAGTGACCTCATGTAACTTAACAAAGAATCATGTTTGCTTACAGCTTCAAAGTGCTGCTTCCAAACAGTCATGCTCTGAGGTTTCAAATGGGCTTGAGTTGTGGGGGACACAATTCAACTCAGGACAGACACCAATCCACCATCTTCTGCAGCCTCCTTCATCCACAGCTCTCCTAAAAGGTCGGATAACTATACATGATATGCACATGAAGCACAGAGGAAACATGCAGACACATGTATGTTGTGGAATAATCTTTTTGTATACTGTGAAGATGTGCCCACTCTGGCCATCCCCAGCAGGTCAGCATGGGGACCCCATACCAACAGACAACAGACCAACAGTTAATTTAGAGGGGATGGTGTTTCCACTTCAGCTCTTGAGGACACCTGCTGCACCTGTGTGAGCAGGTGAGCCCCCCCCCCCCTTCATTTTGCTGACCTGGGAAACTCCAGGCAAGCTTCCCGGACAAGCTGGTGGAGGCCAGGATGGTAGGAAGCCCTGCCCTCCCAGCCAGCCACACACTCATGGACACATCAGCCCACCTGGGTTTATGCCCTCTTACCTCCAGGCTCTTTTAAAAGAGTCACAGCCTGTCTATACTCCTGAACCAGAAACTAACCCTGTGATGGATTTGCTATTCCATTTAGTCTGTGTATGAGCTGGAATATACAAGCATGCAGGAAGTCTGCCCCTGTAGAACAATGTCTGTGAGGACAGAGCTGTGCAGACCGCAGCCTGGCTCGTGGAAATGACTACCAGTTGGCCCTTGGATTCCACCAGCTCTTCCCATATGCCTAACATGCTTAAAACGGCTTACATGTCTGCATCCCATCTCTGTGTTTACCATGCATGTACCAAAAGGAAATTACCCATTATGTGTGGCTTTTGAAACTGTGTTCTAATCAATATGGTAGAGCTGTGTATCAGGCCTTACCAGTTTTTACCAGAAAAGAGCCCTGACATTCCTTCACACGGCGGTGGGGAGGCATGTCATCCAAGGAGGGAATTCAGTCTTTCTAAGGGTCAATGTGAGCATCTTGGCTTGGCTAGGCTGGTGGCCAATGCTCTTCTGTGTGCCCTCCCCCACAGGCTCCCCAGGTGCACTCTGTTCATGCCCAGCTGCCCAAACCAAGCCACTGCGCCTTCTTCACTCAGGGCCTCATTGCCTCTGTGCATCACAGCCCGCCCTTCCCCCGGCAAATCAGCCATAATGAGGTCTTCACTCAGGTGCGTGTGTGTCAAGGCCATCTGCAAGGATCCCTGCATTCTCGGGCTGTGACTATCACTGCCACCCACGGTATTTCTTCCCTCCTAGCCGAGACAGATGTTGTCTCTATACAGACCTGCGTTTAGTGTTTTCACCGCCCTCGGTCCATCCCCAACTCCTGAGCCGCCTGCCCTGGGAAGAACAGGGCAGATACCGGCATGAGCAGACTGAGTCCTCAGGTGGGTGACAGAATATATTCTCTTGTGAGAGTAGACACCAACCACCAATGCCAGGCACTGCACAGCCAGAGCTGACAAGAGGGCAATGTGGGACTGAGTGGTGGCCCCTCAGAAGTATGTCCACCTGAAATGTGTAAATATGACCTTACTTATATAAAAAGTGTCCTTGCAGATGTCATGTTAAAGTCTAGGGACTGGATTATACTTTGTGTGACAGCGTCCTTGTGAGACCCAGGGAAGGCCATGTGGAAGAGGGTGATACAGATGAGAGCAATACAGCTGTGAAACTCAGCCACACCTCAGCTGTGACCAGAACGCAAGGAAGGCACCAGAGGGAGCCCCGCCACACCTTGATGAGGAGTCTGGCCTCCAAAGCCCTGTGAGAGTCCTTGTGAAAGGCATCAGGTTCCTGCTGTTAGGGTAACCCCAGGATACTCTAGGCAAGGAGCAAGAACCCCAGACACCCCACTTTTTCCTCTTAGAGGCCCTCATTATAATCTGCAGCTATCCTTTTGACTTCAGATGAGAAAGCACAAGAAAATTCCCTCAAATCTATCAAAACTTGATCTTTTCTTAAAAAGAAAAAGTCTGTTCATTTGTTTTCAGTATCTCCTCAGCAATGTGTTTCTTGGGGTGACGATGTCTTATCTATGAAGTATCTGGGGGACCTTCGGTTAAAAAGGGCTGTGACAAAGACCACAAGTAAAAACAAGTACATCTTCAAAGGCCAGCGCCTAGATCGTGCCCGAGCTCACGTCTGCACAGGTCACTTCTCACCAGGGCTGTCACACACTACAGCACACCCAGGGATCCATCACCCGGCGCTGTGGAGGCTGGACGTTTTCCACTGAGTCGTCATCGGCCTACACTTCTTCCCTTTGTTTCAGCTTCTGGGCGGTTCATGCTTCCTGAGCTCGTGGCTGCCTCTTCAAACCCAGAAGCATGGCGTCTATCTCCATCCCACCCTCTCACCTACCTCAGCTTTTCCTCTCTCCCTCTCTCACGGACCACTGTGGCTGCACTGGGCACCTCTGGAAACCTAAGCAGGTCCTTATAGCCACAGCTCACCCTCTGCCAGAGAAGGCAACCTTTCACAGCTAACAGGATGAGGACACAGGCATCTTTAGGGTCCTTATGACTCCAGGGCACAGTTGGATACACTATTAGATAATATGGTAATCCGGAGTGTCATAAAGGAAACCTACAGACGGAACAGGCCAGCAGGCCTGCGGTCTGAGGTGAGCTAATGGAAGTGTCTTTGCCCTGGAGCCTGGTTTGAGCACAGATGAGCCCAGTAACTGTAGTACAGACCTGTGTGCAAGCTCCTGAGGAATAGTCCTGTGGAAAGGGAAGCTGCCGGATGCATGGTTAGGACGCACTTAGGACGTGTGGACTGCAGTGTAAACCTGGAACGGTGAGGGAGAGGAGCCTGCCCAGACGAGGGCGGTGACAGCTCATCGGGGACGCTAGCACCATGGCCAGAGCAGCCCTCCCCACAGTGGAACTCTCAGACACAGCCCGGAACACAGGGACCCCAGTTAACATGTCCTGATCGAGCACGCACTAATTCTATGACACACCCCGACTGTCTGTGTCAAGCACAGGTGCTTTCTGACCACTGCACCCCATCAAATGAACCCCATCTAAACCACTGTTGACGGGCAGTCAGGTGGCCGCTCTTTATCTTTCTTCCCTATTGTGAACGTAACAATACATCCACGCCTTCTACAGGTTAGACCCAGCCTTCACAACTGAGAAACAGACCTCCACTGTTTGAAACACCTGGTCTGTGATGCCTTGTTATAGATCCCTCCCCCTAAGCAGGCCCTTAAACATGCAGCCAGATGCACTGCCTGACCCTCCCCCAGCCCACACACCCACTGAACTGAAGCCGAAGCTGCAGCGGACTCCATCCACACACTACAGGTGAGGAGCACCGCCCTGCCGGACTCCATCATCCACACACTACAGGTGAGGAGCACCACCCTGCCAGACTCCATCATCCACACACTACAGGTGAGGAGCACCGCCCTGCCGGACTCCATCATCCACACATTACAGGTGAGGAGCACCGCCCTGCCGGACTCCATCATCCACACACTACAGGTGAGGAGCACCACCCTGCCGGACTCCATCATCCACACACTACAGGTGAGGAGCACCGCCCTGCCGGACTCCATCATCCACACACTACAGGTGAGGAGCACCGCCCTGCCGGACTCCATCCACACACTACAGGTGAGGAGCACCACCCTGCCAGACTCCATCATCCACACACTACAGGTGAGGAGCACCGCCCTGCCGGACTCCATCATCCACACACTACAGGTGAGGAGCACCGCCCTGCCGGACTCCATCATCCACACACTACAGGTGAGGAGCACCACCCTGCCGGACTCCATCATCCACACACTACAGGTGAGGAGCACCGCCCTGCCGGACTCCATCCACACACTACAGGTGAGGAGCACCGCCCTGCCGGACTACATCATCCACACACTACAGGTGAGGAGCACCGCCCTGCCGCGGTTTCCAGTGCTGTGAGCAGTCTGTGTTCTTTAGCACAAGCCTGTAAACAAGAGATGGTGGGAAAAGGGAGCTCAGCTGGATTTAGCTTTTCCTACCTACATACCTGAAGAAAACATTGTTTTATGAATATTATAACACTTGAGGGAATTAACAATTGACTATTCTACCTTGTAAAAATGCTACAGAAATAATTACATGGAATGAGCCATGTAAAACTTAAGACTTTATTATGTTTAGTTGAAACTCATGAAAACAGTTATGTTCTTATGCACCATATCTGAAAATGTAAAATATAAAACCCAGTTTTGTCTTATGATACTGTAACAGAACAGAGTACATAAAAAGAAAGTGTCAAGTAGAATCCCAATCACACTTCACATTTCAGCAAGGCTGTCTTCCTGCCTGTTTTCCCTAAAGAAAGACGGGACCACCAAGGGTCTAAGAGCTGCAGAGCTGCAGGGACAGCTGGGGACAGCTCTACTCCTCCAGCCCCGGAGTCGCACAGGTGAATGACGGGAGCAGGAGGAGGGGCAAGGCCAGTTCACGTGGCTGGAAGGCAGCATCGGCAGGCACAGCTTCTCACTGGGTCGTCCCGGAAATTGAAGGGGTACGGGGGTCTTCACACACTTAAGAAGGTGGGTGATCTTCCCCCCGAATGCTCCGGTACTTGGCCATGTCTTCTGGAAACACTTTAGAAAGTTCCTGAATCAGCAGGCTTTTAAATTTCTACAAACAAAAATAGCTGTGTCAAAAAAAATCCAAGATACAGACAGCACGCCCCCTCCAAGGAGCCCAACATCCCAACTGGGCCACCCAAAGGGACGGAGCCAATCACAGGAACATCTGCAGTTAGGGTGGTACAGGGACGCCAGCTCTCTGGGGGACTACACCTTTAAGACAACTCCTTCCCTCCAGCCGGGTGCTCCCCACAGTGGAGAGGACTTCTGCAGGCCACACTCACACTAGAATCTTAAATAACACTCACTGAATCAGTTACTCACTGGAATCACACTGAGGTCACGTGTGCAAAGACCTTCCGAAGCTTTCCCAAGCAGGGCAAATTCATCATCTACTGCAAACACCATGGTTCTCCAGCCACTCATCCCCTAACATCTGTCCTACCCTAGTCTCAGCAGCTGTCCCATGTGCCTGCACCCCAAGCCTCTCCTCTTATGGGCCACAGGCCAAAGTCTGGAAGCCACATGCTGCTTCACTACAACTGCAAACAGTTTCCCCAAGTTTTAACCTGTGCCCACTGTGGACACGCAGGCTGCCAAGTGTGCCTTGAGGCTGTCACAGATCTCAGGTGAGACATGACACCACGTGCCACAGGTACACGAGGAAGATTAACCACATGGGCACCCACCAGTGGGCAGTGCACTCCAGCACAGGCCGAGGCAATGAGCCTAAGATGCCAGTGGGACCAGAAGCCTTAGCCAAGGGTCAATCAGTCCACAGGGACTTCTGATGGGCGCCCAGGAAGTCCCCAACCTAAGCTCACGGGAGAGATGATGCATGGGCTCAATGCTAAGTGGACCACTCCCACTTCTGCGGCGTGTAATCTGACGGAGCCCATCCTCACTCCTGCCACTCAGCTGGAGCCTCCTGAGCCCCAGGCTCGCTCTGTACAGCCTGTGCACAACAGACACGAACGAGCAGCACACGTGTGCCCGCCGACAGCAGGCCGGTAGTGGGCGGCGGCACAGGGGCAGAGTGGGCAGTGGGTGAGAAAGAAAAAGGGGCACTGGTCAGCACCCTGGGGAGACACCCTGTGAGCCTCTCAAAGGAAGCAAGGCTCACGGTGCTAGCAGGGGCCCGGAAGACACAGGAGGCCACAGTGCTCTCTCTGCAGGCCACACACATTGCATCCACTGAGGCCAGTAAGGTCCAAAAAGAGAAAACCAAGCACCATCTGAACCACATTTCAGTGACCTAAGAGGGACAACTGTAGTTTATGTTCAGGACACAGCTCCCTAAATCTCGAGGCAAAGTGGCCAAGTTCTCTGTGGGAAGTGACATGGGAGCTGCTAAGGGTCTGGAGGTCAGACACCAGAGACAGCATAAACCTTCCAGAATCCTCCAACTGCAGCCCATTGGCACAGAAAAGGCCTCCAGTCAGGGTCAACACAAAATCGTACCAGGCGCACTGAATTAGATGTCACCCAAGGGAAGTCAAACTGAAAGCCCTGCCGGCCAGGGACATCACCAGACAAAGGGTAAGACTGCCTATCTGCTCTCTCGACTGTCACAGGACAACTATTACACATGTTGAAACCCTGCTGGGTAGCAGTCACAAGAGTGCGTCAGCCACACTTGCACGCGTGCTAGGTGCTCTCTTGAAGGTGTGCACGCTGACACGACGGGCTGTCTTACCTTCATGGTGTCGATCTTCCCCTTAACTTGCTCATTTTTAGCCAGAGCCCTCTCCAGGCACTCTTTGGTGTAGAGCTGGGGATTCCGACCTTGATCGATGTATCTGCAAACAAGAACATCTCAGTCACGGCCAACTCACCACCTAACCTCAGGTTTCTGGAAACTCGGACAAAAAAACAAAACAAAAAACCTCCAGCAGACACACCTTCACGGGGCTAGTCTAGGAACCAGGCTCTTTTAAATTCTCAAACTTACCAAGCAAGCATTGCTATTTCTAGCAGTTCATGCATCAAGTAATGCTCACTATGAACCCCAGAAAGCATCACAAGCTGTACCCCTTTACATCTGTTCAGACTCACCACTCACAGTGCCTCTGCATAAAAAAAGAAACAAAGCCGGGCGGTGGTGGTGCACACCTTTAATCCCAGCACTCGGGAGGCAGAGACAGGCAGATCTCTGTGAGTTCGAGGCCAGCCTGGTCTACAGCGCGAGATCCAGGAAAGGCGCAAAGCTACACAGAGAAACCCTGTCTCGAAAAACCAAAAAAAAAAAAAAAGAAACAAGCGCACATACGCTGCTACCTTTTGGATCCTCAGCTGTATGATAAAGAAGCTCTTGAAGTTAACTGAGCAGGAGCTCAGGCCTGTAACAGGCACAGCTGAGATGTGGAGTCCACTCCAGACCGGCCTGATTGCTCAGGACATGCTGTGTGTGGAAGCTCAAGGGAGCAGCAGGGGAGCCACAGCAGGACACCGTGTCCATCAGGACACATCAAGAGGGTGTTCTCTATACACTACCTTATTGTACACACTCCAGTGACCTAATGCAACAGGGTGCTTCTCTCCAGTCATTCCAAGACAATACAATTATCCTGACAGTGTCAACATGTTTAGCCAAAACTCCATCATATCCTGATGACATGAAACCCACGGCCCACAATATCCATATTTTACCAAGGATGGACTACCTGGCTATTTCTGTACAGTGGATAAATCTGAATCATTCAGCTACATTAATTATGCATTATAGAGAAAGACTACCACCATACCTTTATGACAAACAGCAAAAATACCAATTTCTAGAGTTTCCTTTTCAGTTTGGTGTATTTGTAACAATGTAATAAAAGCAGCAAATTCTGGTTACTTCTAATAAAAGCATTTCAAACAACAGAAGAGCATGAAAGGCATACCATTCGTGTGTGTTAAGTAAGCATGTGGCTCCTCCACAGCGTGGGGAGGTTGCTGTTTTCTAAGACTCAAAAGTTGAACCCAACCACTATGGATGCACAAAGCCCAACACTGGGATGAAGTGCTGAGAGGTGATCTTATCCTTGCTCTGGACCGCCCATGTGCCTATCAAAGTGTGTGCCGGCAAGTCACGGGAGTCTGTATTCCTCCCACAGTGCGTGCACAGCCCATGAGGAGAAACGCTGAAGGCACCTGCTCCTGAGTCTGCAGGCCACTCTTCCCAGCCACTGTTCTGACACGTCCACAGGACTCTCTGGGAGAAAGATGGCACGCCACAGCCACTGGACTGAGGTCTGCTTCCTCCCAGCAGTGGAGGGATCACCTCCCTGGCCCAGTTTACCACAGGAACCTTTTCAAACACCAGACCAACTTGTTTTCCCAGATGTCTGTGTGTATATTTTTTTTTATTTTGTATTATAGCTCACACACAACTACTGTTTTGTTTGTTTTTGTTTTCAAGATAGGGTTTCTCTGTGTATCCCTGGCTGTTCTGGAACTCTCTGTAGACTAGGCTGGCCTCAAACTCATCGAGAACCACCTGCCTCTACCTCCTAAGTGCTGGGATCAAGTCGTGGGTCACCACATCCAGCTACAGCTCTTTACTTAATGAATTACGAGGATTTTCTCTGGCCTGAGGCTTTTCTCCACTGAACTCAGAAACCTGCTTTTGTATATATTTAACAAGCTTTTGATTTCTCATTTTCATGTGACCGGTCAACAACACAACCCTGGAGTGACACTCACCCATTTTTGAGCCCCGCCAGTCCACTACATTCCATGAAGCCAGGCATTCCTGTCTGCTTTGCTCATGGGCAGTTCCGCAGCACCTGGGCCATGCCTCCCTCACGCTCACTGACTCGCACAGCTAACCCAGATTCAGAGCCAACAGAGATCCCCAGTGATACTCACTCAAAGACTTCTAGAGGCACCGTGATGTCATGCAGCTGCTGCCTGCACTTATCTATGTCCTGTAAGCCCGTAACAATGAAGTTCCTGGGGAAAAGGCAGAGCGGGGCGTATGGTTAGAGCAGACTACAGGACAAGCAGAGCTCACACAGCACTGGGTTTCAAGTCGTGGCAGTTAAAAATGGCAAGGTCAGGGACACTGGGCAGATAACCGAGGAGGCAGCTGGGTATAAGACAGCCACACTAACTAGATAAGAGAAAGATGGGGCCCTGGGAAAAACAACAAAGCCAGTCTCAGCAGGCTCGGGTCTAGGCAATGCTCCAGCTCGCTTGCACACCACAAAGCCCTCCCTGAGGAGGAGTGCAAGATACCCACTGCCCTCTACTCCGGGACACATCTCAGCTTTAGATACATCTTTGCACTCAGCTTTATCAGACTGAACTGTGGGTCAGGATGGCTTCCAGGGCAGTCTCCCACTCCAGAAAGGGGACCATGAAGGTGGGGGGTTAGAGCGAATTTCCAGGTCCAGACACTAGAGGCAGGCCTTGCCTTTCTGCTGAGCTGGGTGTCTCAGCTGGGGGTGGCTTTCCTCTCCCATCATCTACTAGATGAACCCTGAATACCTGCTTGCTCTGCCTGTGCCCTCGTGTTAGCCTTTCTCCCCGGGAGCACAAGAACCAAGACAGCTTACGGTGGCTGGACTCAGGAAAGTCAGGAGACCCCTGCCACCCTCAAAGGGCTTTCACCCTGTGCTGCTCACACCTGAATCCTCAGCTGCCACAGGATTCTGGGGACACCTCTGAACTTAAGAAAATACCCTCAATACTTAATAATTTTCCTTCTGAACTCGGGATGGAGGTGAGGAAAGAGCAAAGCTTTCTGGAACACGTGTCGTTGGATGGGGTTTCAGGGTGGACAGTACCCACAGTCTGCAAGGAAGAAACCCACCCCTCCCGGGTTGAAACTCAGCTCCTTCCAGAACCACCCTAGATCACCTAGCTGCCCCCAAGCCCCGGAGTGTTTCCCTTGTACGGCGGCGGTGAGGCCTTCTCTTGGACATTCTGTTTCCCTGTCCACCATTCCAAAACCAGGCAAAACTGGTTTAAAAAAAAAAAGAAAGAAAGAAAGAAATCAACCCTCTGTGGCCTTCTTCCACAGCCAGGCCTATGCAGCAGGTGGCCCTCGGGAGGTGCATGCTCCTCTTTAAGTTAGGAGCGGGGTCAGCCTCCCCGGTGGGATGGGGTGCGGTGGGGTGCGGTGCGGTGGGGTGCGGTGGGGTGGGGTGGGGTGGAGTGGTGCCTACATCCCCTTGTGGGGCCAGTGTAATCCCAGACTGCCCTTCAGGGTCACACTGGTGCCAGCCTCCTACCCGGAGGATCCAGGGTGGAGCTACCCCGACCCCCGTGGGCTCAGGAGGAGCCGCCTCCCCTGCGGGGTCCCGGGCCAGCGGGCAGGGGCTCCGCACCGACTCCCGCCCCGCCGCCACTCACAGTTTCTGGCTGAGCCCGGCCTGGCTGCTGGGCTGGAAGTCGCTGACGATGATGCCGAGCTGCCGAATGTTCTCCACGAACTTCTCCAGGTGCTCCTCCAGGTGGTCAAACTTCTCCGCCATCGCCAGCTCCGCCCGCCCCTCAGCCGCGGCTCGCAGCGACTCGAGTCCTGCACCCGCGCTCCCGCTTCCGGCTTCCGGACGCCCACTTCCGTTTCCTCGGGAGGAAGGGCGGGGTCTCCGCGGGGGCGGGGCCTAGTCTCGGCGGGGCGGGGCCAGGCGAGGCTGAAGCCCTAGACCGGAAAAGTGCTGGGAAATGTCTAAAGTGGGAGAGAAATGCCTGGCGAAAACACAGCAGATGTTATGTGTAAAAATAAAGACGGGGCGACCATGAAAACTCTTAGCTGGTACCCAGCGTCCTTCAGTGAAGGAAAACCAAGTCTCATCGGGGAAGGAAAGAAGAAAGCTAGAGCGAAGGAGCATAATTTAGTTACACTGAACCTTGTGTGTTCATAATCTGGGAGATAGAAGCAATTTTCTTTAAAAGATAAACAAAATGTGGGCGCAGTGAGATGGCTCCGTGCGTGAAGACGCTTGCTGCCAAACCTGACAGCCTGAGTTCAATCCCCAGGAACCTGCGTGGCCGAAGAGACCAGGATCCTACCCGTAGTCCTCCGACCTCCACACATGAGCTGTGTCACAAGCAAGCCTACACACGGACACAAAATACATAATAAGTAAATGTATCTAAACTGGAAAATCAAAATAAAGCAATGCTTTTTAAAACTAGTCAGGAGGCAAAAATCTCTTTAAAAAAAAATGCCTAAGCCCTGGATGCTTTTCACACTCACTTTTTAAATGAATCAAACATTAAAGAAAAATTATTTTGAAGGGCCCCAGCATACTTGCTTAGCTTAATGCCATTTTTGAGCAGGGCCTGAAAAGTAACTAGAGGTCAGAAAAACAACTTGTACCCTGGATGAGAGCCAAGTCAGCAGGCGTGTCGAGCTCGGGGAAAAACCACGAGCTGTCCTGAGTTTGAACCTGGCCTCATACGAATCGTCCAATCAGAACCCTGTAAACTATGCTTCCTGCTTCTGTACCCGCCCTTCCGCTGCCCAACCCTATAAAAACCCTCCACTCCAGCCCGTGCGCGCGCCAGTCTCTTCAGCCTCTGGAGGGACTGTATCGCCCCGGGTACCCGTGTTCCTGAATAAAGCCTCTTGCTGTTTGCATCTGACTTGTGGTCTCGGTGTAATCTCTGGGCGAGGGTCTCTCCAGAGGGAAGACTCCAGTCGGGGGTCTTTCATTTGGGGGCTCGTCCGGGATTTGAGACCCCCGCCTCGGGACCACCGACCCACTGTCAGGAGGTAAGCTGGCCGGCCACTGTCTGTCTGTATTGTCTCAGTCTGTTTACTTGTCTTTCGTTTTCGTCGGACGTCCTAAGTCAGGTCTGAGTCGGTGGGGGCTGAAGGAGCTGACGAGCTCGGACTTCGCCCACCGAAACCCTGGAAGACGTTCCACGGGTATCTGAAGTCCCCTCTGGGGCACGGAAAGTCCCCTCTGGGGCACGGAAAGTCCCCTCTGGGGCACGGGAAGTCCCCTCTGGGGCACGGGAAGTCCCCTCTGGGGCACGGTTTTTCGGGGCCACCCACGCATCAGAAGGATACGTGGTACTGGCAGGGGACGGAGAATTCAAACACTCCGCGTCCCCATCTGAGTTTTTGCTTTCGGTTTTACGCCGGAGCCGCGCAGCGAAAAATTCTGTGGTCTGTCTTGTCTGTTTGTTTCTCGTTGTGTGTTTAACCCTTCTTTATTTGGAGACCACCATGGGACAGGCTGTCGCCACCCCATTGAGCCTAACCAAGGACCACTGGTCCGATGTTAAGGCCCGAGGAAACAATGAAGGTGTCATTGTCAGGAAGAAGAAATGGATCACCTTCTGCGAGGCCGAATGGGTCATGATGAATGTCGGCTGGCCGCGAGAGGGATCTTTTAACCTCTCTCTTATTTCGCAGGTGGAGGGTAAGGTTTTCGCCCCTAGCCCTTATGGGCATCCCGACCAGGTCCCATATATCACCATCTGGAGATCACTGGTCGAGAACCCATTTCCATGGGTTAAGCCTTTCCTTCCGCAGCCCCCTCCAGTCTCTGGGCCTTCTGCGCCCCCCAACCCAGACTCCTCCCTTTACCCCGTGCTCCCTCACAAGGAGACTCCTAAGCCTCCAGTCCTTCCCCCAGACCCCAATACTCCCCTTATAGATCTCCTGACGGAGGACCCACCACCATATCGAGCCGGACCACCTGGAGAGCCGGCCAAAGCGGCCCCAGCCGCCGCCCCGGTGGCGGCGTCCCCGGCCGTGCCCGTGGCAGATCCGGAAGTCACCTCGACTCGCAGGACCCACGGGGCTGAAGAAGAGGACGCAGCCCCGTCCCCCATTGCCGGCCGCCTCCGCGGCCGCCGGGATGGCCCCCCTATTGAGTCCAGGGCCTTCCCGCTCAGAGAGGGGCCGAATCGCCAGTTGCAGTACTGGCCCTTTTCAGCCTCAGACCTCTATAACTGGAAACAACATAATCCCCCTTTCTCCAGGGATCCTGTTGCCTTAACCGGCCTAATTGAGTCCATCCTAGTGACTCACAGGCCGACTTGGGACGACTGTCAGCAGCTCCTGCAGACCCTCTTAACAGTAGAGGAGAAGCAGAGAGTTTTCCTGGAGGCCCGGAAGCAGGTTCTGGGCGACGATGGGAGGCCAACCCAACTCCCAAATATCATCGATGCAGTTTTTCCCTTGACCCGCCCAGACTGGGACTTCAATACACCTGAAGGTAGGGAGCATCTACGTCTCTATCGCCAGTTGCTCTTAGCGGGTCTCCGAGCGGCCGCCAGAAGGCCTACCAATTTGGCTCAGGTAAGGAATGTGATACAGGGAAAGGAAGAAACACCCGCTGCATTTTTAGAGAGGCTGAAGGAGGCTTATAGGATGTACACTCCGTATGATCCAGAAGACCCAGGGCAAGCACCAGGTGTCATCCTATCATTTATCTATCAGTCTAGCTCAGATATCAGAACCAAATTGCAGCGGCTGGAAGGCTTACAGGCGCTAGGTTTGCCAGACTTATTGAAGGAAGCAGAGAAAGTGTTCAATAAGAGAGAAACTCCTGAGGAGCGTGAGGAAAGGAGATGGCAGAAACAAGAGGAAAGGGACAAGAAACAGCATAGGGAGATAAAAAAGGTTTTGGCCGCCGTTGTGTCTCAGGGACAGCGGAGAGAGGGAGATAGGTCGGGAGAGCGAAGGAGGCCACCCCTTGATAAAGATCAATGTGCTTACTGCAAGGAGAAGGGACACTGGGCCCGAGAGTGCCCCAAGAAGCCACAAGGACCCCGCCGGCCCAAGCCCAAGACTGTAGACCTCCTTAGTCTGGAAGACTAGGGGAGTCGAGGCCAGGAGCCCCCCCCTGAGCCTAGGATAACCCTCAAGATCGGGGGGCAGCCCGTGACCTTCCTGGTTGATACTGGTGCCGAACATTCAGTCCTAACCCATGCCGGAGTGCCTCTTAGCCGGCATTCTGCACTGGTGCAGGGGGCAACTGGAAACAAGAGGTATTACTGGACTGCCGAGAGAAAAGTCCAACTGGCATCAGGGCAAGTAACTCACTCCTTTCTGCACATACCTGAATGCCCCCATCCGCTGTTAGGACGGGACCTATTAACCAAATTGAAGGCACAAATCTATTTTGATGAGAAGGGACCGAGGGTCACGGGTCCTAAAGGAGACTCTCTACAAATCCTTGCCCTCAGTTTAGAAGAAGAATACCGTTTGTTTGAACCAGAACCCCCGGAGAAATCTCCTGAGGAACTACAGAACTGGCTGGGAGAGTTTCCTCAGGCCTGGGCAGAGACTGGGGGCTTGGGGCTGGCACACGATCAGCCACCGCTGGTGATCTCACTAAAGGCCTCCGCAACTCCCGTTTCAATTAGACAATACCCAATGTCACGGGAAGCTCATGAGGGGATCAAGCCCCATATTCGAAGGCTCCTAGACCAAGGGGTGCTAAAGCCCTGCCAGTCCCCTTGGAACACCCCTCTCTTGCCTGTTAAGAAACCGGGGACAGGGGACTACAGGCCGGTCCAGGACTTGAGAGAGGTCAATAAGCGGGTGGAGGACATACACCCCACGGTGCCCAACCCCTATAACCTTCTGAGCACCCTCCCACCGACCCACGTCTGGTACACTGTGCTAGACCTGAAGGATGCCTTCTTTTGTTTGAGACTGCACCCTCAAAGTCAAATGCTATTCGCTTTTGAATGGAGGGACCCAGAAAAAGGGCTTTCGGGACAGTTAACCTGGACCCGGCTCCCTCAGGGCTTCAAAAATAGCCCAACCCTCTTTGATGAGGCCCTACATGCAGATCTGGCCGGATTCCGGGTCGAACACCCAACCCTGACTCTGCTCCAGTACGTGGATGATCTACTCCTGGCGGCCAGGAGTCGAACCGAGTGCCTGGAGGGCACTCGAGCCTTATTGGCCAGACTTGGACAAAAGGGCTATAGAGCCTCAGCCAGAAAGGCTCAAATATGCCGAGATAAGGTTACCTACCTGGGTTACACCCTGAGCGGGGGGCAAAGATGGTTAACAAGAGCGAGGAAGGAGACGATAATCTCCATCCCCCCTCCTCGGAACCCCCGCCAAGTTCGAGAGCTCCTGGGTACGGCTGGGTACTGCCGCCTTTGGATTCCTGGCTTTGCCGAACTGGCAGCCCCATTGTACCCCCTCACTAAACCAGGGGCCATGTTCCAATGGGAGGAGAAGCATCAGAAAGCGTTCCAACAGATCAAGAAGGCCTTACTCGAGGCCCCGGCTCTGGGTCTGCCAGATCTAACCAAGCCCTTTGAGCTGTTTGTGGATGAGAACTCAGGTTTTGCCAAAGGGGTACTGGTGCAAAGACTGGGACCTTGGAGGAGACCTGTAGCGTACTTGTCCAAGAAATTGGACCCGGTGGCTACAGGATGGCCATCATGCCTCCGCATGGTGGCAGCCATCGCCGTATTACTTAAGGATGCCGGGAAGCTGACTCTGGGACAGCCGTTGACTGTGCTGGCCTCCCATGCAGTGGAGGCCTTGGTCCGACAACCACCGGACAGATGGCTTTCTAACGCCAGAATGACTTACTATCAGGCCTTACTGCTGGACTCAGACCGGGTAAA